ATAGGATGAGGAGGTACATTTGGATCACGGTATTAGCAGTGAATTTCGGCGTTTTGTTATACCAGATACGAGGTAATTACTGCCATAAAAGATTACTCCAAACCATTTATTCTTTAATATTTTCAGGAAGCTCAGTACCGACACCGTCGGGCCCGTCGGGGATCAACTGGTCGCCTTGCGGCGATAATATCGAGTGTGGACGACTAACGTGCGTGTCCAACTTCAACGTTGAGATATCTAGAAAGAATAAACCTCTTGTATTGCTCACAGAGCTCCCTTGGATTATCATAATTTGAGTTCAGGAGCCACAAACCTCGCTGTTGCGCGTTATCGTGCTACTAATACCACGGCTCGTCTGGGGACAATATTTACCAATCCTGGTGGCCCCGGTGGCAGGTCTGTAATATTTTATCTAAATCAATTGGAGTAAATGATTACTTATTCAAACAACAATAGTGGATTAAGGTTTATATATAGCGAAGGAGCACGGCTAGCAGCTACTTTGGATGGCAGATACGATATTGTAAGTTTTATTGTGAGCTATTTTCGCTTCACGAGGTGACACAGCCAGGTTACCTGGGATCCGCGCGGGATTAACAACACTACGTATGCTGATTGTTTAATGTACACCGAAGTCGAGTAACTAATCTGCGGACAGCCCAAGAATCGAGTGTTTCAATTCCCAAACAGACCAAGATCTGTACTACTTTCATATCATCCAGGAAACCGGTCTGGAATTTAGGAACGGATCTGATCCGGTTGATATGACTGTCTTTGCGGCCCAAATTCGACAAGAGGATGCACGAAATGCAGCTTTAGTCCAAAGATGCCACGAAACCTCCGGCGAGCTCCTCAAATACGTAGGAACAACGACTGTAGCCCGGGATCTCGAATATTTAAGTCGCGTTATCGAAGGAGAACATGCACTTGTTAATTACTGGGGCTTCTCCTATGGTACTACCATAGGGAGTTATTTTCTGAACATGTAGGTGTTATTTTTAGCTCGGGTAAGTGAAAATACCAAATATCCTTCACGTTATCTCAGGTTTCCAACCCGTGTTGGCCGAGTAATCCTTGATGGTTCCGGTGTGAGTTATATTCTATATATTATACCAAATCCGTGTCGATATTCGTTTCTAGGACCCCACCGTATGGTCATCAGTGCGTTCCGTGAAATGGCAGAAATGTAAGAATCCAAGTTTTTCTCGGGTTTTAACTTGATGACCGAGCTGCTTTGATCCAGTTTTTTATAGGGATGCAGATAAAACATTCGAAAACTTCGTTGTTGCCTGTCAAGAGGTTCTGTTTGAGAGGCATGTTTGATGTTGCATTTCCTAACCTTTTTTGTTGTTATAGGCTGGCCCTACCCGATGTGCTCTGGCCACCGAGAATTCTACGGCAAAATCCATTGCCTCAGAAATAGACAAATTGCTATCCGATCTTTATAGCTACCCACTTCCAGTACCGCACGCAAGGAGACCTGGTATTCTCACTTCTGGTATTCTCCGAGGTATGCTAACATTTTCTGCTTCTTCTCGGTAACTATTAACTCACTGCATAATCAGCTAGATTACTCAATGGCATGTATGGTCCCCGTGGCTGGCCTGAATTGGCCAAAGACCTCGTAGCTGCCATTACGGGCGATGGCACTGCTCTCCTAAACAAAGCTCAACGCAACATCGAAACCGACCGGTCTATTAAACCTGAAACTGTTCAGGCGAATCCTGCTGTCATATGTACGGATACCCCCCCCTTTCCAGAGAGAATATGACTCTCGAAGACGCGCTGCAAGAGAACACCGATGAAATCCTTATTGCTTACGAGAAAACTAGTAAGAGATTTATACCTGTCGATTTGGATGTATGCCATCACTGGAAGACAAGACCTGCTGAGAGATTTACTGGACCATTTAATCACTCGTTATCTAACCCGATCTTGATCATTGGGAACACTGTGAGTTATTATATATCTAGAGCGACTATTTGCTGACTGTGCACAGGCCGATGTGAGTTGAGATTATCTATCTCATACTATAGATCAGTTACCATATTTATTCTATCTAGCCGGTTATACCTCTTGCGGAGAGTAAGGCCGTACGCAAGCTATATGCCAATGACTCCCGGCTGCTTCTTCAAGACACTTCCGGTGTAAGTTTTAGTCATTTCCTTTAATTGTTTTTTCTTTTTCTTATTCTATTCACCATAGCATTGTTCCGTGGCAATGGCATCTCTTTGCACAGGCCGAGCAATCCGTGAATACTTCTTTGACGGCAAGCTTCCGTTGGACAATACGCTCTGTGCAGCAAGTGAAATACCTTTCCCGCCAAAGAATTCAGAGAATACGTTCTCGTGGATTTCCGGTGGTATTATGAATGAAGAGGATATGCGGATTTTGCAGAATTTCAAGAAGTTGGGAGAAGAAATGCAGCCCTTGTTGACGTTTAGGAGGGGGTACTGAAGACTGTTTTTACTGCAGATTAGGGATGTGGTACTACCGTGCATATATTGAATCCAGAACGTGAAGAATGTTGCATCAGCGGTGCGATCGCCGGATATTCTTATCTTCTGCTGCCCGTTTATATTGATGATTGTCTGATAAGAGGCATTACACATCATCTTGGGTAAACTTCAATTCACTGGGACATGCTGGAGAGAGGGTAGGATCTAGCACACCAAGGTTTTATCGGCGCAATAGCTCAGCTGGGAGAGCGACAGACTGAAGTAAAATTTGGGCATCTGCAGGTCCCCGGTTCAATCCCGGGTTGTGCCATACCTTTTGTCTATTTCTTATTTTTGTCTAATCATTTAACAGAAATACATGTTGAGTCGAAGATGAAAAGGCTCGCAGACGAACTTTATTCCAATGACTTCGCAGGTGAACCCTATAGCTTTGTAGGTCGTCCGCCTCTCTTTCTGCTTGCTTGAAAAATATATAAGCAACCTGAAATGTATGGGTTAGATCGTAGGGGATCAGTGGCAGACTCCAACAACTTCAAGCGGCAGAATGTTATACGGGAACAGCCGGGTTCCGGGTCATGGCGGCTTGAGTTGAAGACATTTCATCCTGTAAGTACAGCTAGAGTTATCTCTGGAATGCTTCTCCTTGCAGTCAATCAAGGTGTCCATATCTGCTTGAAAGAGGATTGAAGCAGAACACTGCCAGCCTGGATACGTGTAATGATGAAGATAAATTTTCCGCAGATACTTGAAGTCGTTATAGCTAATGACTCCGTCAATCCTCCGTGAAACGTATTCGAGTGCTCGCTTAAATTCTCGCTCCATAACAGCTCCAATATTGTGGGTACCAATGTAGTTGAGATTATACACATCTTTAAATTTACTACTGAAAGAAACGTAGCTTAAAAGTGTGGATGTCCTTTAATGCCAACGGAAGAAGGTCGAACAGCCCACAATACCAAACATAAATTTACTAGAAGTAGAATGTCGGTCAATGTCGAGTGTTAATCCCTGCATCCTAATGGCAATATTCGGGATCCCATATGAATTGAATAGCGAGGTATAACTACGGATGATGCGGAAGGAGAGGAAAACACTCGAGTCCGAGTGGTGTTTCATAATGCTTACTAGGAGATGAGCCATCATTTGACCTCCTACTAGACTATTACATCAGTCAAAGGCTTCTACCTTCAAGTCCCAGCTATGCCGGGGGGTGGAAAGGATGGGTGTCGACAGCATAGTTCCAAGAGTTTAATAACTCTGGTTATGTCGTCGAGTATCCTCCCTTGCACCCTAGCGGCAAATGGAGCTCAGAAGGATGGAGGTGGACAGAGAGGTGGTGAGAGGTGAGCAACGGCTCGACCACCGTGACTAATGCTCAGACGGGGCAATATTGCCGAGGCCGATGGGTGAGAAGTTCGGAGGCAAGTCGATGGGCCCACAGTCTTTATGCATCCCAAGTATCTGTTCTCTTTTTAATATTAACTGAAATTCGCGAAAGAAAAACGGACCTAAGGGTCAAAAGAGCTGAGTTGGCAACGAATGATTTACGGTTTAGTCTGGTGTCTACCATATACTTAAAGCTAATAACAAGTACGTCACTCGAGCATTTTCCACGACTTGAAATGCCAAGATACGCTTTTCTGATAAACGAATGTGGATAACCTAGGGTAGAACTCAACCCGAGATTTACTTTATGGGCGCAATAGCTCAGCTGGGAGAGCGACAGACTGAAGCGAAATTCGGTATCTGCAGGTCCCCGGTTCAATCCCGGGTTGTGCCAATATCTTTTTGTTTTTATAAACTTAACATGTATGTATGACTCTCCACCAAGACGTCGAGGTAAAAACAAGATTTTTAGAGATCACAATAAGTAGCAAAATTTCTATCTTCCTCTAACGCTCTGTTTTACTTGTTTTTCCATAGCCATGCGACCTTGGATAAATTTCAAGAAATACTGTGCATTAGATGGCGGAGGAGGACGATGAGTTAACAGTGGCGCACGGGAATGGCAGAACGGTTATACCGGCGTCTCTTTCTACCTCAAAGCAGCGTCACTTATTAATTCCTACATACTTTGCTACGGTGTAAACGCATACATATTCAAAGACAATGATCGATGACGCTAAGAGGCAGCAGAATTAAATAATCTACTGTCAATGATTAGTGAATTTTGACAGCTAAAGCAAGTTATGCATTTTAATTACATTCCATGTCATACACCCAAATACAAAGCCTAACAATTACACAAAAAGCCCGCCAAACATCCAAACAACTCATCCCCGTCCCGCCAGTGGAAATCCTACAGCTCATCCTCACTACTATCACAAACCAAATACACATCCCCATCACTCAGCACCTTCTCCTCCTCCTCCGGCCCCCTCCTCTCCTCCCACTCCGACCCAAACCGCGTAAACCACCCCTCCTTAACCCTCGTCCCCACACTCCGCATTTTCGCCGCCCCCTTCAAGCTCATCACGTCGTATTTCCATAGACTCCTCGGAACCGCAGTCACGATGGTTCTCCTCTCTGAATCGTAATCCTCCGGAAGGCCCCTAACCACTTCCAACGTCCTCACATCCATCTCAAGCACCACAAACCGCTCTCCAAGACACTGCACACCATACAACCTTTTGCTCTTCCGCTCCCTCCCCTCTTCTTCCACCCCCAGATCGCCTCCTTCCCCGGTAACATGTCCCTCCGCATCCGCATCCTCATCCCTAACCACCCCCCTCATCGCCCGAATCAACCCCCCCAAAGCCTCCGCCCTCCTCGCCGGATACCCAAGAACCTCCCCACCATCCCCCGCACGCACATGCACAACACACAGCACTCTCTCCCCCCTCCTCCCCTCCCCCTCCTCCTCCTCCCCAAAGGATAAATGCCGGCTAACATGTCTGACAAGATAATATATCGAGGGCCCCGTACCCCCCCCTGCTGAGCCGGACAAGGCGAAAGCGGGCGCGAGAGGAGCCGTAGAAAACGCAGGCGTGATCTGAAATCCCTGATGCAGTGGAAAGACAGTCGAGAGGATCGAGAGCCACGGGCCGAACCAGTCTGCATGCGCACTGGCAACGGCTGTAGGTAGCATACGAGCGAATTGCGCACGGATGGGTGCGGCCCAGGGCTGGATGGCGGGTTCTTCCTCTTGCTGGTCGTCCATTTCCGAGCACTGAGTTATCTCTTGAAACGGCGAAGAGGGAATATAAGTACGTGATGTCGTCCGTCGTTCGTCGCGACGTGCGAATTAGCGCATCCCGACATCGGTGCAATTCGCAATTCAGGTTCTGACGTCACGCGTCACCGTGCCCCCTCCTCACCTCACCTCGCCTCAAATCAAATTCCAAGAGAGCCCATTTATTCATGTAAAGGAGGCGGGACAGACAATACATATAAAGATAACTTAAGTAAATCAATAGTCAAATCTCAAAATCAAATCAGAAATCACGTAGCTACGCAGTACTAGAGTAAAAGTACACCAGGATCACATCACAACACACAACAAGGAACGCAGGCAACACATGTCACAGAAGAGAGGGAGAAAATGAAAAGAGAGTAGAGAGATGGAGAGGAATAAAAGGAAACAGAGGAAGGAATGTTTATGTATGGATATAGGCCGTGCGTGCGTACGCCAGCCCTAGTGGTGGGTAGGTAGGACGGAATAAGGGACGCCAACCCTAGTGGTGGGTAAGGATATGCATGGTGAGATGCAGGGCATTGTCCGGCGCAGTGCGTGCGGGACAAAGCGATCGGGGAGAGAGTGGGGATAATAGGAAAGGGAAAAAAAAAGGAATGAGAGCAAAGCAGGGACAAAACGAGAAACATGACCGAACAAAGGAAAAGAGGCAGGCAATTATGTAGCACGGCGGAAAACCAGAAACCCAGAAACTCAGCGAAATCAACACCCGCTAACCCTCACCCATCGAATCCCCGCAAAATCACACTGAAGAGAGAGAGAGAGCTCGTCCCTACTCCCCAACAACCCAATCGGTACTCCGCCCCACCAGCTCAATGCTATTATCCACCGTCCAAAACAGCTTCTCCACCGGCGTTCGCCCGCTCCAGCTCTTCTGGTCCCTGAGGATCATCGCCTGCTGCGCCCCAAGATTCCTCTGGTCATGCGCGAAGAGCTCCGTGTTCTCCGCTAGGGCCTCACTCAGGACCTGGATGTCCGCTAAGATGCTCTGCAGCGCGCGCACGGCGGAGAGGAGGAGCGCTTCTTTTCGGGGGCGGGGGCCTTGTTGGTGCTGTTGCGCGTTGGGGCTATTGTTATATTGGGAGTTGCCGTTGAACGATGACGGAGGGGGTAGTCGGGCAGAGATGCTCTGCAACACCGTATGCAAGATCCGCTTCGTCTCGCTCAGGATCTTCTGCGCCGCAGGCGTGTTCTTCCTCGACACAAGCACCAACGCCCGCGTGATCATATCCGACGCAAGCAGCTCCATCCTCCGCCTCACGATCACCGCGTCGCTCTGTCCCGGGTTCGGCGCTGGGGCCGGCGGGGGGGCATTACGCCCGTTATGATGATGATGTTGGTGTTGCGGGGTCGGTGGCGCGGGGAGGAGGGTCACGGTGAGTAAGACAGGATGCGCAAGCCGCGAGACTTGCTTTCCTGCAGCGGGGTCGTAGAAGCTTCCATCCACCTCGAAGACGGGCACCTCGTCGATCATGCCCTCCATCATGCCCTCCATGAGGTTCATGAGGTCGCCCTCGCCGCCTAAATCGAGCCCCATCGACGCGACGTACTGCTCCGTTGCGTTGCGCGCGCCGTTCCGGGGGCCGACGCCGGTTGTACTCGTGTTGCGGCCGTACCCCCCTCCACCACCGTTACTCGCGCCGTTAGGATTCCCATTGGAACCCCCATTCCCCAGCCCATGTATCCCCCCCGCATTATCCAACTCCACCTCCACCAGCATCTCCTTCCTCTCCCCATACCGCACCTCCCCCACCTCCACATCCACATCGCACCCATCACTGCTCACAATACTGCTCGGGCCCCCACTGACCTTCCGTATCCTAAACCTCCGCCCATCCACGACCTTCATGTGCATCTTCATATGCAGGAGCCCCACCGACATCATCCCGCCTATGCACCCCGCAAGACAATCCCGCAGGTCATACCAGTCTTTCACGAATGTGTAGGTCCCGGAGGTGTGGTTCGACATGAGCCAGAGGGAGGCGGGGTCGTGCGAGCGGCCGTACCCGAACGAGTGGATTGGGACGCTGAACGTAAATCATTAGTACATCGCCCGCAATTATAATATATAAAATTGAATACGCACTTGGCAGCCTCCGCCCTAGCAAGGACCAAAT